ATATCAGGAAAACTTATCTCTGATCAGTATTCACAGGAAATAATCTGCTCAAAATTCATCCAAATTGCTTGTTTAACACAAACTTCCTGCAGTCATTGGGTTCACTATTTAGGTTCATCGTACAGTTCATCAGTTGTTCTGTACTGTTATTGTTATGAACTTCATATAAGATGAAATATCCATAAGATGTGTCACTTGGTCAGGTGTTGACAGTTTACTCAATGATAGAAAAGGGGTCCTCTACATAACACACAAATCTCTGACTAACTAACTGTCGGTAGTCAGCTTGTATTGTGGGTAATGTAGGCAACCCGGTTTTGACAAGGAAGAACACGTGCAAGGAAAAAAGACAATATCTCTTGATTCTGTTGCACTGGGGTACTCTTCTAAAGGAGAGGAGTGTTTGTGTGTTTGTGGTACCTACCCGTGTAGATGCGAGCCAGGCTGTATGCCAGGTCTCTGGCTGCTAGCTCCAGGTAGCCGGGTCCTCTGGTAGCTGCTACCTGAAAAAAGTCCTCCAGTTCAGAGAGAGCACTGTCCACTGCTTTGACTGCTGGGGCCAGTGAGGAAACACTTGATGCACCTGCAAGCAGGGACTACAAGGAGGAAAAGTACATAACACATTCCTGTTAAACTGTCATAGCTTAGTTACTGAACTTGTTTGACAGGATTATTCCCTGACCCTGTACCTTGGCGTGGGTGACGTAAGCATGAAGAACCATTCCTGAGCTACGAGCAACACAGCGCAGCACATCCAGAGACAGGACATTTGTGGTTCCTTCCCAAATACTCAACACCTGAGAGAGAGAGAGAGAGAGAGAGGGGTGAGCTTCAAAATAGCAAAAACCTTAAATAACTTGATTTTTATGTATTGACCTCACCTGTGCATCACGAAGTAGTCCAGGCAATCCGGTGTCCTCGATGTAGCCCTGTCCACCGAAGCTCTCCAAACCCTCCGACACCACAGCCACCGCCTGAGACAAAAACAACAAGTATGGTAAGGGTCGCTATCAAAACAGCGAGTTTCTAGACAGTTTATCACATTCGTATAAGAACTTCACCTGCTTCCCAGTGTACAGTTTGACCACAGGAGTGAGCAGACGCAGCAGGTGCGTATCAAGCTGCGTCGCCATGCCGCTTTCCTCTCGGCCCAACAGGCGACACACATCCATCACCAGAAGGAACGCTCCTCGAGTCTCCACCTGTCCAATGTCAGCAGGAGCAAACATTAGTGAGGCATGTTGGGAAACACTGTGTAGAGTTTGTGTAGTTTCTTCACCCGCTGGCAGCTTACCTCCATCCTAGCGAGAGTCTGTATGTGCAGTGGGTGGTCTTTAAGAAGCTTTCCAAAGGCAGTGCGGCGAGTGGCATAGTCACGAGCTAACTGGACCACCCTGTGATCACACACATTATTAATCAGTTTAGTTATGGCTCGTTTTAAGAAATGAGTGCGGGATGCAGTGCAATAGTCTGAGTAGCATCCTGCCTTCTCATTGCGGCTGCTGCAGAGACGCTGTTGTGGATCCGTGTTATAGTCAGCATGTTGGCTATGGAGGCCACACCTCTCCCTTCCTCTGAGAGCTGTAAGTGTAAAGAAGGAATACAGATTTTTATGTATTCATACAAAAAACCGTTTAGTGGGCATTTTTGCCGATCTGGTGCGTTATATTTTAACACTCCTAGAATTGATTGGATCAACTTCAGATTTGGTCATTGCAATCTAAAGACAATCACGATTAAAAGTTGTGCTACCTGTGACTGTGTCAAACGGCATGGCGCCAAATTTATCGTCATGAAACAGGAAGTTATCATAACTTCAGTGTACTTTGTGTTATAAATCAGAGAAAGTGTCTGCAGTTTATCATTATTGCAATAAATGACGATGTGTAACTGACCCTGTGTGCCTGCAGGCCGTCCAGCAGTAACTCAGCAGTCGGCATCTGTCTTGTGCCCAGCTTGTCCTTCAGTCTCTGAACCTCTATTCCCTTCAGCCGGCCTTCCTCATCTCTACTCACCTCTGCGTAGAACAAAGACAAACCCCTGCTACCCTGTGGGACAGAGTCAAGCAATGAAATCACTTTGTAAGTGATTGAGGAAGAGTGATGACTGATGATAGAGGAGTGTCAGCAGTACCGGTGTGGTTGCTCCTGTTCTGTCCTGAATTCGGGCCAATGTGAGAGTCATGTCTGCGTCTGTAGCAGAGGTGAACCACTTGAAGCCATGTAGTTTGTATGAACCATCGGTCTGGGGAACAGCCACCGTCTCTGTGCCACTGCCTGAGGAAACGCAAGACATGAAGAGACACATGATGGATTAATAATTAAGTGTTACTCAAGTAACAATTAAGTATCACTGGGCCATAAGTGGATAAAATAACATTTTCTTGAGTTCTTATGATACTGGTTCATGTAAGAGAACCGTCAGAGTCACTACTGACCCACGTCAGATCCTCCCTGTCTTTCCGTCATCCACTGTCCAGACGTCCAGAAACGTTCAGGCTGACGGGTTGTCAGACGACTGTAGGCTTCATCTGTTGGCCACGAAACACCTATAGACTTCACATACACAGCCAGAAAAAAGGTTACTGGGAGAAATCAGAATGCTTGTACTTGTGTTGCAATAATCGGACTCTAAAACCCACATTTACACACAGCTGTTCAATAACCATACTGTTCCCCTAGCTGCTACAACACACCATATTTCTTCAGTGTGTAAGTGATGTATGATGAAGCAGTGACAAGATCACAGAGGACAGTTTTTGCTTACAATGAGCCATTTTGGATAAAGCTACACATTTTTGCCTTCATACTGCATGAAAAACAGGCTTCTTGTTTACATCTAAAGAATTTAGGTTACTGCAAAAACCAACAATAATCTGGTTACAACAACTACTACAACTCAGCTATTGTTAAATTAACACAATGTATTGAGCAAAATAACAATGGTTTGTTTCAGACATAAAAGTCTACAACGTTAGTCAGATCATTTGTTTTTCTGACAAACCTGGATGACTTTAGCAGCGCCGTCAGTCATGGCCAGAGGACAGGTGTAGAGACCAGAGGAGGGAGAGAAGATGTACAACTTGCTCATTTGGTACACACGACTGGAACACACACACAAGCACAAACATTTAGAACAACTTATCCTATCAGAAAAAAAGTTGAATGAACTGAAATATGAATTAAACCAAAAAAGGAAGTACAACCATCTCCTAACCTCCACTCCCCAAATGACCTCTCATAGCCGATAGCGACCAGTCCTTCCTGTGCCGACAGCTCTTTCATGCGTTTCCAGGCCGGGGAGGTCACAATATGGTCCACTCTGCAACCCCAGGGGTCAAAGTGCACCAGCCGTGGTGGCGTAACCTCACACTCTCTGCCCCAGTCATCCACCTCATTGGCCACACGTTCTCCAAATGCACACAGGTCTGAGAAAGCTGCCTGTGAACAAGTATATGCACAAATATCCACACAGATTGTCATTTGCATCCTAAATAGTCGATGGAAATGACA